AAGATACTGGTTCCTGTAGTCACTTCTGGAAAAGGAAAATGTAAACACGAGGTGCAACGTGATTGTAGCGCTTTCCCCCAACAGGCTATTGGCTAACCTGAGACTGTGTCTCCGCTGCTGCTGGGCCCTCCTGCCCTCCTGCCCGCTCTCGGCGGGGCGCACCCACTGCCCTCCCCCCCATCATCCTCCCATCAGCCAATGCAGTGCCAACGGCTTACTGCCCAGGTGCCTCAGCGATGAAGAGGAGCGCCCCCCGAAAGTCCGCAGGAAGAGTGGGGGACGGGTGCCTTGCTTGCTTGCCGGGGGGGCGGGAGGAGCAGCCCCCAAGCTCCCTTTGCTCCCCAGAGTGGAATCGGCCTGGGAGCCCAGCAAGGGCAAAGCTGGCTCGTTTGCGTAAAACTTCCCGATCATCAACCCCTCTTTCCTGGACGTTTTCTCGCCTTGGAGCCAGCGGCGCTGACTGGCTATTTATTCTGGGGCCAGTGGCCCCTCAGAACCTCTGGGAAGCCTGCCAGCAAAAGCAGCAGTGCTACTGCACATGCACAAGAAGAAGAAGAACAAAGCCCACTTTTAAGTTGCAAAAAACCAACAAATAACAGGAAGGGCCCACGCATCCTCCGGCCTGGGAGAATGACCAGGCTTGAGCAACTTCCGGGCCATCGTGAATCTGTGGGTGGGGATCGTTCCGGACGGCAGGCTCCGGACAGCGGAGACCTGCTGCCTGGGGCCCGTCAGGGGCCGTCATTTCCTAGGCAGGCCCAGGAGCGTGCCCGCTTTTGCAGACCGTTCCAGGCAGGCAGAGAGAGTTAGCCATACCGTGGAGGGCTTTAAGGGTGATAACCAGCACCACGAATTGCACCTGGAAGCTGACCGGTCGGTCACCCCTGCAGCTCAGGGTGCATAACACGCCACTCCCATCACTCCCTCCGTTGTTGCATCCTGGACCAGCTGTAGCTTCCAGATGGCCTTCGAGGGCAGCCCAGTGGTCAACACATTACAATAATCCAATTGTGAAGTGACTAGGGCACGGGGGGCCACCTGAAGGGCCTTCTGGTCCAGGAAAGGTCACATCTGGCACACTAGATGTACCTGTGCGAAGGCCCTCTTGACCACCGAGAGTCCAGATGACGCACACATCTCGAAGGGAGAAGCGCAACCCGACTGAAAGTCAGTGCTGGGATACCTCCGGGTCTGGGGGCCTGCACAGGCATAGTCCCCTGGGCTTCTCAGGGTTGTGCCTGCGCCTGTTCCTCCCCATCCAGACCCGCCCAGCCTCTAAGCCCCGGGCTAGCATTTCGATGGCAGGGGGTTGAGATGCCCAGCTGGATCTCATTGATGGCACCCGACCCCAAACGGAGGGAAGACCTCACCCAGCGGTTCCACGCAGATGTTAAACAGAAGGGAAGCGAGCACCCCACAGGGAGCACCAGGATAGGCACGCCACCCCCATCCCGGCTCCACCACCAGTCAGTGATGGGTGTGACTTGCGGCGCCACCTCTGTACCGAAAAGGAAAGGCCGGAGCCTGGATGATAATTGCCCAGGACCATCGGGCCCCGGATGACCTCTTGAGGTGAGGCTGGTTCTCTTGGGTCCTTGTTCCCTTTTTGCACAGAAAACTCCGCAAGCTTGGCTCACAAGAAAAGCAACTCCAATTCCAGACGTGGTTCATTTGCATTTTAAAGTCTTATTTGACCTGGCAATCCATTAGCTTGTTCCATTAGATACCTGCTGGTTTCAGCTGCTTGAAAAAAGAAAAAAAGTCAGATCTGTTGTTCACGGTCTGCTCCGTCAGCGAATTTGGAAACAGCAAAGGAAGGTTAGTTGTTTCAGGGGTTCAGCCTCCCACCGGCCCCCGACGGAGCCACGGAAGCGACGGCAGCGGCCAGAGGGGAGGGGGCGTCCCTGCTCCAGCCGGGGCTCAGCGTCTTTCTCTTCCTTCAGTTTTCCTCCTGGAAGGTTGTGCACGCCTGTTTTGCATCTGTCAAAGACAGAATTGCAAAGCTTGGGGTCCTCGCACGAGCAGCGCTCCTGCATTTACTGGGGAAGGTGCTGAACCAAGCGCCAAATTCCCCTCCAACTCATCCAGCTTGACCCCGCTGCCTTCAGGGGAGCTGCGCCTTCTTTGGCTGCCCAGCTGGGCCTTCTGTGCATGCTCGGGCTTGCTGATATTGCACCCCCGGAAGAGGAGGGCTGCCTGGCCAAGGGTAGGGGAGCAGGAGGAGATAGCTGGCGGCTGTGTGTGTGTGTGTGGGGGGGGGCTTGCACAGCAGCCCTTCCCCACAGGCAAGAAAGAGGGGAGGTAAGCAGCTGATTAGCACTTTGCAGGGACCAGAAGCCCAGCAGCCCCCAACTCCCTTGACCAGCGCTGGGCTGGGCTGGGCTGGCTGCGGGGGTTAGGCCTGGCCGCCTTCTGCCACACTCCTCCCCCACCCAACCCAAGTATCCGGGCACCTGCTAATGTGCTGGCAAGCCCCACAGGAGGCCTGAAATTTGATCTCTG